TTGTTCCTTTCTTTATTAGCAGCTGCAGCTTAAACAAAAGAATAACAGATAGTATAAACTTTTTAGTTAACATTTTAAATGACATATTCTGCAGATCTCTGTAGTATTAGAAGTCTGCCTAGGTAAATCTGGAAACACGTTAATTTATAAGAATTGCTAGCAACTTGTCTGTTTTTAACATCTTATAACAGGTTAGCCTCTTTTATAAAACAAAGATTTATATTGTCAGGTGTATCTTTATTATAATTTTTTGTTTTTATCAATGTAAACATCTGACATATAGATGATCCTAGGCTACCCTTATAAAAGAGTTTTCTTTTTAAAACTCTAAAGAATGGTCTCATGGGCATAGCAATTATTTTAAGCCCTTTGTTAAACATAGGTCATTGTCTTACTGTACCATAAGAATTAAACAGCTCAATTTTTTATTATCATATGGAACTTATGGATGTGATCTTAAATTTTAGCTCTTTTGATTTAAGCACAAATATTAACAATATAATAGAAGCACAAATATCTTTTAACCTTATAAATTTGAACAATTTAAAATCTTTTAATATCTTTTTTAAGAGTATCAAAAATAAAGTACCCCTGATGTATGTAAAAATCATTATCATCTGGGTGACTATTAAATTTATGTTGTCAATTCCCAGTGTTACTAGGTTTTAGTTTTTGGCAGATTTAACCATGAAACAGTTTTAAAATTATCTTTATTAATAAAATATCTGCATTCCTGATAACACAAATTTATTGAATAGAGCTCAGAGATAAATTCTGATCTATGTCCATAAATGACTGGCTCTTGGTAGCATAAGACAGCAAAAATATTTGAACTATTTTTGTTTTAGCTTTTGGCTTATAATAAAATTTTCATTAATACCAGAAAACAGAGATATAACCTTTTAACAAGAATATAGAATTAATGTTTAAATCATTTAAACAGAATTAACCTGGTGTGGTCAAAATTTTTTTCTCTCTTTTTATTATTATTAATTCAAGTTAGGGAACAG